TCATTAATTCTCTTCGCGTTAGTGCGACTACCTCCGATGTACTGCCGTTATTTAGTTCTTGCATCGCGAGTCTGGCCTTTTCGTGACGCAAACTTAAATGCGCAACCCTGTTTTGATCAGATCTGCTTAAGAATCCAGATTTCATGCTTCTTGTTAGTCTCGAATAATTTTCTACGCTATCGTAGTCACCTGTGGCATTCCTGTGGGACGCATGTCCCCTGGGATGTCCATAGGCTCTACAACCATGGCACAAAACGTTTTGTGAATTGTCGAGTATAGTCCCCGCGTGGCTAGGGGTTGTACCTATGTATCTAGCACCCCCATTCATTAATGCTCCATTGTTTGCTATTAGAAATTTGTCTATTTGCGTCACTAAATTTTTTGGGTCATTTTTTAGAAAGGTAATAACGTTTGTTCTAAGATTAGTGGGTTTCTCGCCAATCTGAGCGGCGACCACTGCGAACAGACATGAGTTCAATTCCACGTCGACATTGTACTTGGCAGGATCTCTGTTGCCCAACAGCGTCCAGTGTCCCACAGAGTTTGGCTTGCATTCGTGATATTCTATATCTATTACAGGATTTTTCGGCGAGCTCTCATTTAGAGTACACACTCGGTGATTTAAATGCCATATGCGAATAGGCCTGCCTATGAAACTGCTGATAGCGCCTATATGTATTAGGTTCGCTGGTCCATAATTTTTTAAATCGTTAACAAGAAATCTAGCTAGTCTGCATTTCGATGAATGGTCAAGCTTGAAATTTTTAAATTTATTGGGGGATTTCGCAGGACTTCGTCGCATCTTTCTTAGATATTATTTCAGCGCACGTTACGCTTCATTGTAAAGTTTCGGTAATTTTCTTACTATTTCTAATAAAATTGCAATTAGATTATTCGCGATGCAAGAGATTTCTTATAGAAAATAATGAGTATACCTTATTGTCCAGAAATTCATCTTGAAAGATAACGTTTCTGATTAGATATTAATTTAGAATTTAGAATTTGGCACCAAACATTTATAAATTTTAAATAATTCACGTTAACCTTTGCTTTTTCAAGACATTTCAACTGAAAGTTTTTGCAACGTTCATTTTTTTTTACGCATTCCATTCGATATAATTCAAAACGTTCAAGCACTATAATTTTTGCATACACGCAACGAGAGATCCGAATAGAAGAATGATTTATGTACAATTATCGCATTGTGAATAGTGTTCCCTCGAGCAGAATTCTCTCTAGATATCTCTTGCCGTCATTCTTAGTGAAGCTTTTAGAATCGACTTTTATCCCCATCGCGTGGATAAACGCAAATTCTAAAAGCTACCAGAAGCTGGTCGTAAGTATCGGCGTAAAGCACGTTGCTACGAAGCGGATCGGTTCCCGGTTTGCATTTATTACTCGGCAGGCATCTCGCGGACAGAGAAAGAGCAATCGTTCGCCGGCGAACGGAAAAAGAGGGTTTAAGGGCAAGGAGAAAAAGGAAACCGTACGTTCGTCGTGGTTGGAAATGAGCGGGGAATCGAAAGGCAGAAGGGGTTGAGTCGCGGTTCGGGTGGGGATCCCTTTGGATCCTCGCTCGATCCGCGATCCATGGATCAGTCTCGGCACAGCCGTCCCCTCGAATCGGTTGTTGTCGCTCTTCCTAATCGAGTTTAATGTTACGACAATCGATCTTCCTCGAACGAAACGGTACGAGCCAGTTTTTACACAGGTCGCCGTGCTACTCTTTGGTTTACGCGGTTGCGTTTTGGTAACGGTTGTCGTTGTACATGCAGTGTCGCGTATCACTTGTACGGATGTATCGCACGGTGAAATGGTCGGTCGATGCGAAGGGCGTTGGAGCGTCTGTTTGCACGCTGTTCAATGATTTGAATGTTCGAAGCTGTGCTTAATAGCGTGTGGTTCGAAGCAATCAGAGTTTCGCAGTGAGAAACTTAAATCCAACAAAAGTTGTAAATTATTTCATTATTTATTCAACGTGTATTGGAGTATAAGCTTGTGAAACCTTCATTCGACTAGAATAGTCCTTATTTTATATCAGATTTGATGATAGAAGAAAAGAGCACATTATATTTTTAAAGGGTAAAAGAGATTAGATTTCATTTTCTAAATCATTTAAAATGCTTTATTTTGAATTTTATCAAAATGTACTCATAAAGATTTTTGAATGGAGAGGAAAGAGTAAAAGTGGTATTAAATTTCGATTGGTCCTCGTGACGAGTTTATAACGTTCCGGTTGTCGTTCGGAAGAATATACGGCGACATTGATGCCGCAACGGAACGTGTTCGATGGTGGTATCAATGCCCCCATGAGAAAGCTACAACGACTCGTACGTTCGATTACTTTATCCGAGTCCCACTTCCTCGCGTCTCCATCTTCGTTTCACGAGCATTCACGCGCGTTATGATTTTCGCATCGTGACCAAATCTACTAAAAAAAGTTGCAGCGAAAAAAAGTTGCATCGAATGCATTGTTATGTAGTATGTACATACATGTATGTGCAATGTAATTTATTTTAGTGAACAGTGCGTGATGCGAGCTTCATGAGATTTGGTAGCATCGTAAACAAATGTTCATATACGAATTAATAATTTTAGAGTAAAAGCTGTTATTATTATCGGCGAAAGTTACTGTTTATCAGATTTCTGAAGTCAGTGTTCGCCACGATCCAAGTGAAAGTAAACAGTTCTTTTTTCTGTGTAGAGTGTTCATATTGACGAGTGATCGTGATGTGTTCTCAGATTTGTATTCATGTTCGTTGGTAGCGTGGGGTGACACACGTGATCGCATTTGGATTACCAATATCGTGGATTCGCTTTCGACATGTATGGCTGGTAAGTACATTTACAATATTTTATTTTACAAAATCGCTTCTAAGAGGGAAGTAAAATTGATGTGTGACTTTTCAATTCGGGAGAAGCTTGAAAATTCGGTAATAGCTGATCCCTGTTGTTATATTGCAAGTATTTGTCTCTTATTTTTACGATTGATACAATTTTCTTAAGGTCACGTCATAATAAAATTCGTCCGCTCACTTCAATCAAATTCAAGTGGTGCGAATATTCTTCCATATCTAATAGCCTTGAAGAAACACAAATGTTTATAAGGGAAGGAAACAAGCGATTTGCTCGTTTGGCCTAACTGCAACGTTTCATGAATTCAACTAGAGAGAAGGAAGAATGCTCTAATAATTGATTTACTCAAAACGCATTAGAATTGTACGAAATTTGTATAATTTCGTGGAAGTCTATTGCGTATGAGGCGGCGTCGGTTTCGTGGAAGTCGCGAGGTTTAACGTCCGTGCTGAAAGGGAACGACGAATCGCGAAACGTGCACGCACCGCGTAACGAACGTGGACACAGGATACCTCGAATGTCCTGGCGGCTAGAGTAGCGTACGCATAAAACCGGCACGTGTGTACACATTTTTTATCTTCTTTATTCAGTATGCATTCGGCTGGCTGCGTGGCGCAGGTAATAATGCGTTGGCCGCGCGTCGGTCACGCAACAATGACGGCTGTTGAACTTTTCCGGTGACGATAGACCCGCGCGTTCTTCTGTGACACGCGTGCGTCCAATAAGTTGGTTCAGCTTCAAAGGTACACCATTTCGTGCCATTCGTTGTTTTAAAATAAAATAGCGTCTGTTTTACGATCACCGTTTCAAACCTCGGACAATTGTTTCTTATTTATATTCTCAGTTAAAGCGAAGTTAGACGCGGATTGTTACTTGGTTTTTAAATACACTTTTTCCGAATTCTGCGGATGTAATTGGTAGAAATTTGAAAAAGAAAAAAACGGACAAGGATAGCATCCGGTGCTTCCACGTGAGAAAGGCAAGCTGTGGTCGTACAGCAGGAAGTACGGAGGAAAGATAGTGTGCACCTGCCGCGGCAACCTCGTCGATGCATAATATAAACGCAATAATTCCGTATAGGACATCGGGCATCTTGTAAGCATCTTGGTATTAGAGTTAGGCGAATCGAAGTAAAAGAATGAGGAAACTTTTTGTCCCCTAGGGACGTAACTTATTGCGTTTCCGAACGATGACCGCATAAGTAACGATAGTAAAATTAATTGAGTTCTGTTAGCTCAGATGATATCGCATACCGGTTTTCCAAGAATTTAACGCAGTTCATTCATGCTTCGCCCATGCGAATACATTATCTTTACCCATTATTTACGCTACTTCAATACCAGAGAAATATAGCAAAATGCACTCGTTTCTATTTTTTTTTTAATCTTCTACCAGTACAAAAGCCACGTTCGCACCTGACTATTTCATATCCGTATCCTTTGTCCCACCTATGACAAATTATTTTCTGCTTCATCTTTAATATAAATCAATTTCTTGATGCTTCTGTAATTTTTATGAAAGACGATGGTCAGTGGATAGTTATTTGCAAAAAGAAAGGGAGACAAGTTAAATAGGTATAATAAATCTCAGTATCTGGACCGAGTGTATGCTCGATGCGCTAAACTAAAAGGACGGCTACGGAGCGCAAATAAATTCTAACAAATTCCACGCGGTTGGACCGAGCAGCAACGCAACAGTTGCGTTTCCTACATGCAGAGATATATTATCACGATTGTATCGGTAGATACGGTGCAGGGTTCTTGCAAATTTTCCTGCAATGCATCAACACCGTTCTGGGTGTAACGAGTCTCATTTTTGATTTATGATGTTCATAAGTCTTAGGATACTTCCAAGTGCTTATTGATTATCAAAAATCTGACAAATGTTTCAAATTAGTGATCATTAGAAACTGTTTCAATTGAACGGTTGTAATTAATCATTAAATGAATTGTATGTTTCGATGAAATTGCGTTTTGAAAGAATTTTCGTGTAATAATTTCGATGACCATTCTGACGTACTTTACAAATTGTTTGAAAACTAATTATTAATCTTTGTTCCTCGTAGCGTCTATGGCTTTGGACTTTGAAATTCTCCAAGATTGATCTAGTCTTGAAATTGCTAGTACACTGCACAGTTTAATGTGGAACGGAATATCGCTGGCCTGCGAAGGGACAGGCGGTAATTAGACTCCACTCTTTTATTATCAACTTGTTTCGAGGAGGAGCATGGTCGCGATGAAACGGACCGTAGTATATTTGAGTTATTGCCGTCATAACGATAATTCAGTATTCCAAAGGGACACACCGAAGTTCGTTCGCACAGATTGATAAGCAGGTTAATACCTAGCTACCCTGGCGTCGTATTTTATGCTGCGAGATACATGTTTAACTTTATTGACGGTATTCCATACCATACAGCGTTTAGTATGTCGTCACAAGTTTACCCTGAACGTTGTTTAACAGTTTTCATGCATTTTCCCGACGTATCATTAAACAATTAATGAATCTGTTATTAAATCAAATATTTATCCAAACATTGTGCACGTATGAAACTGGCAAATTAGGTGTACAGTTTATAGATTAATTTGATCTATTCATAAGCTTCGTACATATTTACATATCTTTGGAAATATATTAGATTATGTTCAAGTTTATTTATTTTTTGCTTCGAACATTCTCAATCTGCGCGTGGAAATAAATTTATCGTTAATCAAATGGCATCGACCGGCTGATATGCAAGTCGAATAAATTATTCTTAACCGATAAATTACGCGCTACCGATAATAGGTGTTCGGTTTGACGCACGCTGGAATTGAAATAACGAGACTTGTTCACGCGTGCGTCGACTTTCGACATTTCAAGATCACATTTTTCCATCGTCTATTCCTCTCTCTCTCTCTATTTCTAACGCCGTTAGAAAATTCGCTTCGGACAGGTACTCGAGCGGAAAATTTCCTAGTAGTGGAGGCAAAACCAGATCCATTTATCTGATATCTCGTCACGCGTGTACATTCTTGTCCCATGCATTAATTAGCCTAATCGCGGCGACACAATCGGTTGCCAGAGATGCCGCGGTTCGCTAGAATCCCGGAATAGATACGAGATGCTGCGGGTATAATTAGACAGAGTACATCCACCAAGATGTTAATCGTCCCTCTAAGGATCAAACGGTGGATCGCCGCTGCTCAGCTTCCTTTTTGATTCTCCTGTGACGCGGTCCCGTGTGAAATCGATTCTCGGATCAAAAGTACGCCATCGATAAACTGCAGACTTTTATACGCTCGTGGTATCTTTTAAAAGTGATTCAATATGCGTTCTGCTTTTGATATTTTCTTTACATCAAATTATTTAAAAACTTAGATTAACGAGAATTTAGGAAAGAGAGAAATCGTAACGTGACAAACGGGGAAGTGCACTCGCATCGATCTCGGTGGAGTCTCAGTGGACCGGTCTGCCCACTGTGACCGCAAGAGGATCAACAGAAAAAAGGGGGGAATGAGGAGGATGAAAATAAAAAGACAAGGAATAATCCTACCGTTGGAAATGGCGCATTACACGTCTTGCTGAACACCGTAGTCTTACGAGGCGATAGCAGGACCTTAAATCCTGGTTGCGGTTTCTCCTATCTGCGATACACGGTGACATCGCACATTTCTTAGCCGTGCCCGGTATCACCGACTTCTTAATCTCGGACGTGACAAATTACTTCTTCGTGTCGGGGTATACGCGTATATTTCTTTCCCGCCTCTTACCCTCGCGCTGCTTTATTTGCATCTTTATGCCATCCGAACGTGATTTGAAAAACATATCCCGGGGTGGAGATTGAAAAATATGTGCCGTGCGCGTAATCTGTTGCACCTCCGTCTACTCCTTCTTCGATGTTATTCGCCTGGGTCAGTTGGAATCCGGGAATTCAATTTATCTTTACATATTTCTTTATTAATGATGCAATTAGGGCACGAAAGAATTCTCAGATGTTTTCTCAGACGTTCTGCGTTCGTCGCATTCTCTATTCTTGGTCTATTAGAGATTCAATCCAGTTAGAATTTGGTTTCTAATAAGGCGAATCGAACCGATGGTAGGGCCATCCCTCTGCAGAGTTTACGATTCATTCTTGGCCGCGAGCATTATATCTGCGCGCATGTAGCACGGTGAATTTCGAAGGAACGCACGAAACCGACGATAATTTATTCCGCGGCCGTAAACTTCGCGGCGGACAGCCTTCCTACGCTTGTTTCCTCTCGAGCCAAAAGTGCTAAGCAAACACGTATCCAGGGAGTCTCTCTCTCCCATTGCGCGTACGTTCTCTACCCCTTTTTTCTCCTTCGTCTTTCTCTCTTCCCCTTTTTCCTTTTCCTCTCCTACGCTTCTCTATCTCGGCATCTTCGGCGTTTCGCCTTTACCTTCGCCTTTCGCTTTTCTCTTGCCCCGTGTCCGCGTGAAATCGAAATGAATATTCCCGTGTAACTGCTTTTTACGTAAGGGCCTGTTTCGTGTCTCCCTTCAAAAGAATAATTTGTGGAATTTAACACAAAAGATTTTCAAACATTTTTAAACCGTTCGGCTCTTGTTTGACTGGCCGACAAAAGCGAGTCTTTCTTTTGCAATACAATAAGTATCTGTGGACTCTATAAGAAATGTAGAATAATTTGTTCAATGATTTTAATTTATTATGCTTCTCTATTCAATTAATTCATTTAATTCTCCAAAAGACGTAGTGTAGAGCTATCCTGTTTTTCTGTAGATTAATCTCGAGTAACAATTATCCGTTCTTCTGGCTAATCGAAGGATCAAAACGAAAATTGAAATTACTCGAATCCCCTTATACCGCTCCTCTCTTCTCGTACCCCAGTCCCGTTGCTGTAATTAATAGAACACGGCTCCATGGTCCAGATATATCGCGCTCATCCTTGTCCCGGTCTCCCGGGATCGGATTATCGAATTATCTAATCGAGCTTGTTAACGCCGTGTTTCCGCGA